ACATAATAATAAGATATACACACAATAAAGTAATGAAAAAATAAAGTTTTTAATATTGAAAGTTTGCTGACTAAATTAGTAATTGAATCAAAAACTTATTGACACACAGACTAAAAAATAAAATATATAATACTATGTTCAGACAGCCAAATTTCCTAAATTTCGTGAAATGAAATTAAGTTAATTTCGAAAGTGTTCCTACTGCACCAAACTAAGGAAATCACATGTTTTTTGTTTACAAATCGAATGTTAAAAATTACGTGCTCCAAACACCATTTGTATCTGGGAAATTTTAAAAATTGATTATTATAACTATAAAGGATGGCATTTAGTAGTTTTATTAGATTTAGTGGATTTCAAGTATATGAATTATTATTTTTAATTCTATTTTGAATTAATAAATACTTTCAAAATAATATTTTTGGTTTCATTAAAGTCAATTCTCATTGACGCTTATTTAAAAAACTGTCCCTTTTTCATTATCTCAACTTTATGTTTTGCTAAAAATGTGTTCTACGCATAGTTGCATTTGAAATGTCCTTAATTTTTGTCCTTAATTTGTTTTAATGAAATTAAGAGCATTTTTCTTAATTTCGTTCTAACCTTAAAACTGACTTTTTTATATATTGAAAAAATAATTTATTTTCACTGAAACGAATATGAAATTAAGATTTTTATGAAATTAAGGTGTATTTGAACATAGTATAAGTCAATAGAAAGGATTATGTTAAGGATAACATGAAAATATTTTTTTTGTTTTTATATTTTGAAAATTTAATTATTAAAGCCTTTTCAAAACGTACTTTCTTAAAGTTATATATATACGAGTACATGAGTTGATGCATTTTTAAGTAAGACAAAATATCGACTACGAACACACTGTATGGCACAACAACAAACAATGTCGAAAATATGTTAAGTATTTGGAAATCATACATGAATGCTTTCCAGATGTAAACATGCAAAAATGCATGTTTGCTTGGACTTAAATATGAAATGCAACCAAAACTTGGTCCTTAGAGTTCGATGTTATGTAGTCTGGTACATAAAGTATTTTCGAACAGTACTGCAAACAGCAAGTACTTTTTATTTTATTTTCTATTTAATTTATATTTTATTAATCAAAAACATAAACAACAAAAAAAAATGGAATGTTTTTGAAGTTATTTCTATTTTATAATTATATTTTGTTTTGTTATTAGTTTTATTTTATAACACATGTAATATTTCAGCACAAATTACTAAAGAAACCAAAAATTATAGGTAAATATGAAAGCGGTTCTTACCTGATTTCCATACATGCCATATGGAATGCTCCATAACAAATACATAGTTTGGTGTCTGAAATAAAATTTTTTTATTAAATTTAGTAAATATAAATATGTGTAGATATGTAATATGTAATATGTGTAGAATAAGAAAATCATATTAAATTTCATGTGCAAAACATACTTTTTAAATTTTCGTAACTGCACTACAAAAGTCTTTTTAAGTTTTCTAAAGTCACAAATGAGTTTTTGGGTTAAAGTAGTTAAGCAAAATAATTTCTTACAAATTCTTAAGCAATTATACGAGTGCAAATGAAAGTGCAAATGGAACACATTTAAGGACAATTTACACAAGTTGAATATGGTTTTTATTTTTTATTCTGAAAAACATTATTATTTAGTTTTGTAGAGAGAAAGAAATAAGTTAAGCTTTCGTTCTACTAATTGGAAAGTCTAAAAGTGTTTATATGAAAAATTGAATAAATGATGACAAAGTCACAAAGACCTCTAGTGTTCTTTAGTGCTTCTCAGTGTTTTTTGGAATAATAAAATAAGTAATAAAAAATATTATTTACTTAAGTTTTGTAAAAAGACTTGTGAGTTGACAAGGTGTTTAAAGAGCCAAATTACAAACTTTTCTGCTACGAAGGTAAATATAGTGAATGCATCGTATTATCAGTAAGTTCTAAAATCTTTATATGAATACTGAATTTTTATACAAACTTGATGATCATAGTGTATTTTTTTCGTCTTAAATACGCAATCTATTTACTTTTTCAGAATTTGATACAGCTGCGTTTCTGTTATTTAAAGAGCACATACTTAAATCGTTTAATGATGCCATTGTATAGAAAAGCTATATACTCTCAACTCTAAAGGGATTCACTGGTTCAAAAGCCAGTAAAGTATATCTTCTTGCTAAGAGAATCTTTAGCAACATTATC